GACGGGGGACTGGGAGCCAGAGGAAGGGCTCTGCCCGTTGGTCGCCAGCGGCGACGCGTGCCCTCGACTCCGGGCCTCCATCATCTCCAGGAACCTGCGGGAAGAAAAGCGGCAAACATCAGGAATGGAGAACACGTGCTCAGGAGAGCAGCCAGCCTGGCGCCCGGGCTGCGTGGGACACGTGCTGAGCTGGGGGGGTACAGGGCTGCTTCCCTGCTGCTGCAGCTCCCCCGGCCACACCAAATCTGGTTCACCCCCAAGAGCTGAACTCACACGATCTGCACCGAGGTGTGGAGAATCCCAACCTGCTTTGCACTGCAGGATGAAACCTACATTTGCAATGCCACTGGGAACTCCCTGGATAGACAGACTACAGCAGCGTGCCAGGGCTTGAAACACAACCTTAAGTCAGTTCTTGGACATATGTCTCTAAGGGAGTACGTGCTACTGGAATGGCACATTTTTAGATTCAGCAGAAGAGATCAGCGTGTTCAAGAAAACCCAAATGCTATAAAAACCTCTTCTTTCAGCCAAGAATGGATTTGGGAGGAGAATCCTTGAATGTCAAAGGAAAAAAGCTATCCAGAGGGCTCACAGAGGACTGACTGCAATTATCCCCTCTCGCAGTGTGCAGATCCACAGGCAGTCTGTCCCCCTGCACACGCTCCCCCCTGTGTGCGAGGCAGTGGAGCTGAGCAGCAGAAGCTCTGAAGCAAGCTGTGGGCCTGGCTGGATTCCTGGCTAGAAGGGCAATAAAGCCTGTGCTGCTAGAGCAGGTGAAATGCTCTATCCTCTTCGAACAGGAACCCAAGCCTGGTCCTGCTGCAGCCTCCATCTGCAGCCCGTTTGGTTAGCAGCCTTTTCACAAGCTGTATGCAAAGAAGCACTGACAGAAAGCCAGACTTTTACTATGAAATGCTCTCAAAATAGGATCTGCTACACACCACACATCTGAGAGATATAAAAAGGGCACCCAAAGTGAAGTATCATGTATAAAATCTAGAACATGTCATGGTCTTGCCTCTTATTTCATTAAGCCTAACGAAGACACAGTGCACAGAGGCTCTGGGCTCAAGTGCTTCTGCAGAGACAGATTTGTGTGTGTTCCAGGCAGGGAGTATGTCAAAAGAGAGACTCCCCTCCCCTCAACCTTGTCCTTCAGGGACTGGAGCCAGCCAGCCACCTTCAGTGGAATGACAGAAAGCAGGGGCTAAAAATTCTAACCCCTCTTGTGATATAATTCCGTATTTTAAGGAGCAACTTGATAGACTTTTAGGGAACAAACTAATACACTTTGTGACCAACAGCATCTGGAGCCCTACAGAACAATATCCCCAGGAAGCTGTTACTTGAATTGGAAAACCAGGAGTTCCTCCTAACTAAGTAAAAGGCTAAAGCTGAGACAGGGTAGCACTAAAAAGCAGTATTAGCCAGGGGACAAATCCCCAGCAGAGCTCCTCAAGGATTGAGGATATATTTCAGCATTTCAAGCAGCACAGAGAGCAGTGAAATGCTCATGAGGTTGCAAGTTGAGAGGCAGCATCAAGAGAGGACAGGGACAAAATACAGAAAGAACTGGATGATCCTGAATAACACAAACGGGAAGAAATTCAACAGTACAAAGGAAACAGGCAGCTGCTCAAGGGCTAGGGAAAAGGGGTTCTTGCTCCAAGTCCACCACACAAGAACGGCCAGGAAAGACTCTCCTCACCCATTCCAGAAGATTGGACTGAAGGCTGCAGTCCCAGCAGTGCCTGGGAGGAGCAGGAAGGGAGCCTGGCTGTCTCATGGCCACCCACTACCTGTCCCCAGAGACTGCTGTCAAGGCATCTAAATCAGTGCCGTGGTAGCCTCACGGATGAGCCAATGATGGTGGAGTCCACCAGGATCTGGGGCAAGGCTTATGTGCTTATTTCACCCAGCAGACTCTCTACAATAAAACCAGCTCCTGGCAGAGCTGAGATCAGAGCACGAGGCAGAGCATTCCTTCCAGCACCCTCCCTCCCAGAGGACGAGTAGCTGGGGGGAGCTGTGTGACAATACCTTCCCCTGAAAACGATGCACGATTTGCCATGCACCAAAGACAAAGTGTAAAGCAGCTTAACTCTTGCCCTGGGCTCTGTGGAGAGTGCCTCAGGTTTGTTTGGAAGGCTCACAGTGCATCCCACACACTGCAAGAACCTCACAGTGCATTTTCAGAGCACCTCCATCCCCTGGCACACGGCTGCTCTGGAGGTCACTGCGTGTCACTCGGCGTCCCTGGAGGCCTCTGTGGTGAGGGAACGCCGAGCCCAGGGTGCCTGCCAACCAGCCCTTGTCCAGCAGAGCACACCCCCCGAATGCACAGCCCCCCAGGAGACCTGCCTGCACAGGACACCAGCCCCACAGGGCCACGCAGCAGCACCCAGTGCTGAACCCTGCCACCCTCCCTCCCAGCCCAGAGCCAGGGCTCCCCGCCAGCCCGAGGCAGGGTGGCTGAACAGCTCTGCTTTGTGCCACTCACTCCCCCTCCTCCCGAGCCCTGCTCAGGGTTAAAGCCTCCTGCCTCCCAACTGTGAAAAGAGATTAATCCTGGCTGATCTACATGCACCCCTGCTCCTGTTTATAGCAACAGCAGTCCTGGCTGGGAGGCCTGTAAGCCTGCAGCAGCCCCGAGAGAGCTGCCAGCACCACCAGCTCTCCTGGCTCAGCTGAGCTCTCTGCCTGCCTAAGTGAGCACCTCAGTCAGCAATGCTGCATGAAAACAGGACCAAACAACCTCTGAGTCTCTGATCAGGCCACTGGGGTCCCACCATCAAGGCAACTGTGTGGACTCAGGTAGGGTAAGAGCATTGTCCACTGAAGACTAAGCAACAAGGAACCTGTATGAGGTATATACAAAGTACATACATAATGATTTGAGGATACAGAATACTCAAAGAGTACTTAAAGCTGGACCCAACAAAGTGCAGGGGACTCTTTACAATAGCAAGGTATCTAAAGATTTACTGTACTTTGTACAAGCAAAGCTGCCCATTTTGGAAACAACCTGCTTTGTTCCAGGCAAGCAGCCAGCTCCAGAGGGAGGGAGGGCTGCAACTACCACCTGTTTCTCCTGCAGAAACACATGAATTTTAAGAGCTGGAGGGGAAAAATGCTGCATAACTGAAGTATAAAGAGTGTCATGCTTCCCTCCAGCTCAGCTAGTCTGGATGGCAATGCACATGCAGGCTTCTTCTGCACCTGTCCTCCTGTGCCTGGCTCACCTACATTATGTGAAGGGCATAAGAACAAGAGACAGAGCATTATTTTTAGTAGAGAGGTACAATGGTTATTTGGGGACAGCACGACACAGGCTCTTACCCCAGCACAGCACCAAGGAGAGCTGTGGCACGTGTGCCTTGCGTCACCTCCCTCATCTCCAACCAGACACGTGGGCCAAGCTCTGTGCTGTGTGCCATGACACCAGGGATGTAAAGATGGGCTGATAGCAGCTCTCCATGGGCTGCACAAAGCAGCTCTGCCAAGCTTCCGTATTCAGATCTTCTGCCGTGAAAGAAGTGGGTGGAAAAGCAGCACACATGAAAACGCTGCCAGCAAGCTCTCAATAATTTCCAGGGTGGAGGTGTCTGAGCATCCTCCACACTTTGAAAATACTACATAATGCATGAATGCTTTCTCTGGCTTTTCACACACGCTTCAGAGGCACAAGTGTGGCTGTTTTGGGAACACACCAGGCCAAACCTGCCACGTGTCGCTTTTTTCTCATATTCCACACAATCTGGTCACTGTGTTCCTTGTTCTATCTTTTTTGTCAGTCCTTTGCTAATGGACTCACTCAAAACCTGACTGTGAAGCAGCTTCACATCCACACTAGGTGTAGTAGACCAGATCCTGCTAAAGCATCAGATGAACTCATGCTGTGACCCGAATACACTTGTTCAGCTGGCATAGAGAGACAGCGAACGTGCCATGCAAGTCTAGATGGGTTCTCTCTCCTCACCCATGTGGGCTCCTTGTTTGCCCTTCAATTCTTCCCTCTCAGGTGGAGTAACAAGTCCACATGCCCAAAACTCCCAAATAACTCATCGTCAGTTGGACCTGCTTGCAAGAGTAGACTTTAATGCAACTTAAAAGATGAACATGCTCTGTGGGAACAAAAATTCATCAGGGCCTGAGGTTACTGTTGTTCTGCTGCCAGAGCAAACAAAAAAAGAAAAGTACAAAAGGATTTGTTAGCTTCACAGCTCCTAAAGTTGCCAGTGCTCGTGTTCATTTACCACTGAAGACAGGAGCAGCCTGAAGCTTTTTGGCTCCTGGTTCTAATGTGCTGTGATCAATTTTTCAAGTGTATTTCATGTGGCAAGAAAAGCTTTGGGTTATTTTATTAATTGTGAAAATGAAGATTAACAGGCCATGTGACACTGATTTAACTGGAATTATTGAGGGTTAGATATCCACATGTTTGTTTTGGGCTCATTAAAGGTACTGAACCTGATTCCCCCCTAAGCCCAAGTCCCTGAATGTAAAATCAATTGCCAAGAGGGGTTGAATCCTGCTGCCCAGGCCTTGGAGAGAACAGCCCCTCCCCAAGAGCTCCTTGGGTTTGCCACAAAATGGATGGAGCAGGATAACCCCCCCACCACAACACACAAGAAAATGTCCTGTGTTCTCCACTTCCCCAGCAAGATCAATGATGATAGGCTTAGTTGTAATTAATTCTTAATGCAGCCCCAGACAAAAACCATGACCTAGAGTTCCATCTAGTACACACTGGCTCCTCGTCTGTCTGAGGGCAACAGTGATTCACAGCAAGAGGAAACGATGGAGGTGGGGAAGGGGGAAGGGAAAGCAAAAGTGGTTGTACTTTACTGGTAATTCAGCCTCTAGCTGGTGGTTCTGGACCTGGACTTCAATACAGCTGAAGACAGAAGAACTCCAGCAGCAGGTTCTCCTGCCAGACAGCACTGGTGTAACTCAGCACCATGGTCTCTGCAAAGTTATGAGCTGTGCTCAATGCAGAAAAAAACAAACAAGGAAATAAGCCCCAAAACTCCAATCAAAGACTTTGGAGAGAATGCAGAGAGAGTGTCTTCCAAGAGAAGAGTCCTCAGGAGAGCACAGATGCCTTTCTGCAGTCACTGGTCCATCATCCACGGGATGAGGCCAGGATATGTTTAGGTTGGACATTAGGAAAAACTTCTTCCCCTGGAGGGTTGCCCAGGGCTGTGCCAGGCTGCCCAGGGCAGTGGTGGAGTCCCCACCCCTGGAGGGGTTCCCAAGCTGTGGAGATGTGGGGTGAGGGACACAGGGCAGTGGGGACCTGGCAGTGCTGGGTTAAGGGTTGGATTCAACATTCTTAAAGGTCTTTTCCAAACTAAATGATTCTATGGTCTTCCTTCCCTGGGCAGTAGCACCTGGCTCTGACCTGACAATGCAGATGACCACATGGCACCACTGGGAAGGACCCAGGACTTCTGCCATGTGTCAAACCTGGGACAGGTCCTGCCACTGCAGACATTGTAGCTTGGGTCATACAGAAGAATTTTATATGAACTGAAATTCTGCATGAATTGAAGCTTCATCCAGAAGCTCAACTGATGAAAAAAATTTAACAAAGCCTGGCTGACAGTTTGCTTAAGAGCTCTTAAACACACGCAGCAAATAATCTGGAAACTCTTTTCTTACAGACAATTCCTGTGAAGAAGTTGGACTTCACATGCTTACAAATCAATCACACAGTGATTTAGAGATGACAATTTCCTGAGGCTTCTCAAATCTGAGCATGGAAGATGTATTCCTTTTGACTAACTTATATTAACCCCTAAGGAAAAAAAAGTTAATTTGAAGACAGTTGACAACTTAACCCTTGAAAACAAACATCTTTGATATTAAAAAAAGAGTAACGGTGGAAAAAATGCAGCCAAACACAAAAGTTCACAAAACCCACACATTAAATAGACAATTCCTGTGAAGAAGTTGGACTTCACATGCTTACAAATCAATCACACAGTGATTTAGAGATGACAATTTCCTGAGGCTTCTCAAATCTGAGCATGGAAGATGTATTCCTTTTGACTAACTTATATTAACCCCTAAGGAAAAAAAAGTTAATTTGAAGAGAGTTGACTACTTAACCCTTGAAAACAAACACCTTTGATATTAAAAAAAAGAGTAACGATAGAAAAAATGCAGCCAAACACTAAAGTTCACAAAACCCAAACATTAAATCTGCTTCTTATTAATCTTTGCAAATGTTTTTGCCATCAGCTTATTTCTGAAACAAAATGACTATGCAGGAAGAGCTTCCACAATTTCCCAAACCTTTTTTCTCCACGTGCACCACTCAGCAAGGGAACAGGCACTCTGAACACAAAACAAGTTTTCCTTGTGACAGAAGATAAGCTGGGTACAATTAAAGACAGAAAAAGTGAGCAAATTGAGTACAAATCAGAACAGAGTGGAAAAAAAAGCCATTGCTGTTTGTTTAATAAGAATCCTGGAGCTCAAAGAGGAGCTGAGACGTGTTTGAAGCAGCACTGAAAACCCCAAATCTGAGAAGCCACAGGGAAAAGTAGCAGAGCAAGAGGTGTGGCAGGCAGAGAGAAGTCTGAATGCAGGGAAGGAGCTGGCAGCATCCCTGGTGTCCTGCAGGGGCCAGGCCCAGGCAGGGCTGCCAAGGCACGGCTTA